AGAGGAGCCAATCAGCTAGATGTTGCTGGGGCCGCTGTGAGCCAATCATCAGCTGGCAGTCTGAAGGGCAGGGAAACAGCCCAATGAACATGACCGCAGAGGAGCCAATCAGCTAGATGTTGCTGGGGCCACTGTGAGCCAAATCATCAGCCGGCAGCTGGAAGTTTGCTGGCAGCTGGAAGTTTGTTGGGGCCCCTTTGGCTGTGGCTCTCAACACAAGTCTTTATAAACCCTTCAGTATATTAAATTTATCTCTAACTTTAGGGCATCTGAAACTTTGACAAGGAAGGCTTCTACATTTTCATCAAATAATTGACAAGCTCCCATGGAAGGAAGGATCTAATACACAACTCTAATATAAATGTATTATGCAGGCTATCTCCATGGAGAACACTGTGACTTGCCACTAGTAGACTACCAAAGCAATCCAACTAGACCAACTATTTAGTCTATTACGGGGTCATAATTCACTGTTAATACCCATACGTCCCATATGTCAGAACAGGCAATCAAAAGGTAAACATTTTAGAAATACAGAATATTTTGGAACTTTGCAATTTCCCTAAAGAATTACCATCATGTTCCACTGCCATATTTTAATTCACTTGTTATATACCAAGGTAAAGAGACAGGGTGTGATATTCAGTGATCCTAATGATTCCATTATACAAAAAAATAAGAACCACCTTTTCTAGTTTATTATTACATAAAGTTGAATTTTTAACATTTCCAAACAAACTAAAAAGAATTCTTGTTCATACTCTATATATTCTGATGAAAAACAAACAAATTCTGAATTGTGCAATAGTTAGTACCTAACACAGAAAAGAAAAAGAAAAAAAAATTTACCTTTCATTTTCAAGGCACACAAAAGCTACCTTGTTTATCAATAAATATACACTTTATTCTTTTGTTGTTCTGTCTATGATTAAAATTGAAAAATGAAACTTTAACCAATAAACTTTGAGCTGTGGATCCAGAGAACAGTAGATCCAGAGAACAAACCTTCAGGGCCAATTCATATGTAGCTGCGCTCCATATATCTCTTTCTTCCATTAAGTGTTTAATATCATTCTCCATCCTTCCTCTTTGTAATGTATATAAGTCATGGTATTCTTCTACAATTCTAAAAGAAAAATTAAGAAACAGCTATTTAGACATATTTTTTAAAAGAGGACTATTATAAAATAGGCAATTTGTTCCTTTAAAATTTGTCACAATATGGTATAATTGATGATATTGATATCTACTGTATATACTATATAGAATGAAATAGAAGAAAATGTTTCATTCATAAATCTTTTATCTATTCACTAAATTTTAACAATATGATATCCCAATTAATTATATATAACTATATATATATATATAGTTATATATAATGATAAATTAGAATACAAGTAACAGTAATATAGCAGTTTTATTGTTATGCTTCTTTGACCATAAACTTAGGCTTCTTTATTAAAGGCATAAATCCCAATAACTGTGAGCCTCTAAATTTTAAATTTTAGCCAAGTGTCATGGCACATGCCTGTAATTTCAGCAACTCGGGAGGCTAAGGTAGGAGGGGGGTGAGTTCAAAGACAGCCTCAGCAACTTAGTAAGGCCCTGTCCCAATAAAAAAAATAAATAAAAAGGGGGACTGGAGTTGTGGATAAGTGGTAGATCATTTGCCTAGTATGTGTGAGGCAACACATAAAAATAAATAAAATAAAGGTCCATCAACAACTAAAATTAAAAAAATTTTTTAATAAAAATAAAATACAATAAAAAGGGCTGGGAATGTGGCTCAGTAGTTGAATGTCCTTGGGTTCAATCCCTGGTACTAAATTAACTAAGTGATTAATTAATTTTAAATTATACATAATTAGTACAAGATTAAAAGAAATTCCTCCCAGCCCACCAAAGGCTTAAGTATAATTAAACAGCTCTTTGTTACTCATTATTTCTTCATGTCTACCAGAGCATATCTTTTCCTTCTAAGTTACACTGAAGCTTCTCTCAAAATTAAAAATTTCTGAAATTAAATGCAAACACAGAAGTTTTAAAGTGACAAATAGTATCTCACAAATCTTTTAGAACACTTCCTCCTAAGGGATATTAACTCTTTTAAAGGCTCCTTCTATTTGGAGATTTCCATTTGTTCAAAATCAATAAGAAATACAAGCCGGGTAAGGTGGCAACGCCTGTAATCCCTGTGGCTCTGGTGGCTGAGGCAAGAGGATCRCAAGGTCAAAGCCAGCCTCAKCAAAAGCAAGGTGCTAAGCAACTCAGTGAGATCCTGTCTCTAATAAAATACAAAATAAGGCTGGGGATGTGGCTCAGTGGTCAGGTACTCCTGAGTTCAATCCCAGATACTCTAAATAAATAAATAAGTTCACACAGGTGAATATACATGTAAAAATTCATTAAGTGATACCTTTAAGATTTGTGCACTTTAGTGTCTGAGAGTTAGAAAACAATTTTTAAAAAGGAATTAATGATCTTAATTCATAAGAGCAAAAGCAAAAAAATTCAGAAACAAACTCAATATCTAATAACAAAAGACAGAATGGCCAGATAAAATATGATTAAGTTCTATGATAAAAGCACTCTTGCAGCTGATACTTTGATACCTAGGAAAACATTTCATTTTATGGCATAAAATGAAAAAATGATAAAAATTATATATTCAGTTTTATTTCATTTTTATTAAAAATGCATAGAAAAGAAAATAAATAAAACATTAATAACAGTTAACCTTAGAAGAAAATAATTATGGATATTCTTTATTTTATATTTATGTTTTATATTTATTTTTCAATTAAAAATCAGTTATGAGAAAAAATATTAAAAAATTTCACATTGCACAAAAAGATAACCATCCCACTTTAGAACCAACATTTTTGTTTTAGAACCAACAGTGATAAAGAAAACAAAACTTCCTTCTCCCTTTTCATCTCTTCCTTTCTGATTTGAGAAAGTGCTATTTTTTTTGTTTGACTTTTTTTTTTTTTTTGGGTCTTATAATGCCCATTAGTTCAAGGCCAGGCTGAGCAACTTAGCAAGACCCCTGTCTCAAATGAAAAATAAAAGGGGCTGGAAATGTAGTTCAGTGTAAAGTTCCCTTTGGTTCAATCCTCAGTACAAAGGAAAAAAAAAAAGGAAGACAATGATTATGGAACAGTTATATAGGAAGATGTGAAGGATAAAACAGCTACAGAAAACAATAGTATATACAAAAGTATATACAATGAATAAGTTACCTCCTCTTATTCTAGTAAATAATTTGAATTGTTATCCCTATCTATTTGATACATTTTCATAGATTACCTAGATCATATTTGAAATTTCCCTTTTGTTTCCAAAATGTCTTTTATGTTGGGTTGTCTAAACAGTATTCAATCTAGGACCACACATGGCATTTTGCTTTATGTCTTTTTTAATCTAGCCTGTGCTTAGGCTTTAAAAAAAAAAA